TCTCACCGGTGTTGGGGGGCTGGTGGTGGAGCAGCTGCTGCCGGACGTGTTGGTCGACCTCCGTGTCCTCGTTTTCGGGGACCCCCCGACCCCCCGCTTGGTTCTTTTCTCGGGTTTTTTTCACCAACGTCAACCGGTCGCGGATGGATTTGGCCACGGCTTTGGAGTCGCTCTCGTGGAAAAATCCGGATTTCACCTGGGAGGGGTGGGGAGAAAATAGGGGGTTAAGGGGTCAGTCTTGGGGTTCCCGATGAATTTTGGGGTGTTGTTGGCTTTGGGTGGGGTCCAGATGGTTTTGAGGGGCCAACTGTGGGGTTCAAGAGGAATTTTGGGGTGTCGTTGACCTTGGAAGACCTTGAAGGTGATTTTGAGTGACCAACCCTTGATTTCATGACAAATTTTGGGGTGTTGTTGGCTTTCGAAGGGTTTAAGATTAATTTTGGGGTGTCCTGACCTTCAGAAGAAGATCAAGCTGGATTTGAGGGGTGAATATTGGGGTTCAAGATGAGTTTTGGGGTGTCATTGCCCTTGGAAGACCTCCAAGGTGATTTTGACAGACCAACCCTTGATTTCATTACAAATTTTGGGGTGTCGTTGGCTTTCGAAGGGTTTAAGATTAATTTTGGGGTGTCTTGACCTTCAGAAGAAGTTGAAGCTGGATTTGAGGGGTGAATATTGGAGTTCAAGATGAATTTTGGGGTGTCGTTGACTTTGGAAGACCTTCAAGATAATTTTGAGGAACCAGCTTTAGGGTTCAAGATGAATTTTGGGGTGTCGTTGAGTTTGTTAGAGCTTCAAGATGGTTTTGAGGGACCAACCCTTGATTTCACGATAAATTTTGGGGTGTCGTTGGCTTTGGAAGGGTTCAAGATGAGTTTTGGGGTGTCCTGACCTTCAGGAGAAGTCCATGATGAGTTTGAGGGACCAGCCATAAGGTTCATGGTGAATTTTGGGGTGTCATTAAGTTTGGAAGGGTTCAAAATTAATTTGAGGCATGAATATTGGGGTTCACAACAAATTTTGGGGTGTCATTGACCTTGAAGACCTTCAAGGTGATTTTGAGGAACCAACTTTATGGTTCATGATAAATTTTGGTGTCTTGTTGGCTTTGGGGAGGTTCAAGATGACTTTGAGGGACCTACCATGGGGTTCAGGTTGAATTTTGGGGTGTTGTTGACTTTGGGAAGGTTTGAAGATGATTTCGAGGGGTCAATATGGGGGTTCATGACGAATTTTGGGGTGTCCTTGACCTTGGAAGACCTCCAAGCTGATTTTGAGGAACCAACCAGGAGCTTCACGCCACTTTTGGAGCTTCATCATCATTGAGAAGCTTCAAGACACGTTGGAAGACCCAACCCAGGAGGATTTTGGGGTCCCCTTGGGGGTTCCCCCACCCTGTGGTCCCCCTCCCTCGGTGGCTCTCACCATCTCATAGGCCACCTCCTCGGGGACATCGGCCTCCAGGTCGAACGAGAACTCGATGGCCTCGTTGTCCTTGTGTTTCCCCTTCAACTTCTTGGGATCTTCCACCCAAAGGCGCAGCGCCAACGCCGACTCCATCCCCGCGTCCTCCTCCGCCAGCTCCACCCGCAGCCCCGTGTCCTCGGCGAAGAAAACATGGTTGAGAAGATCCCGGATGGAGAGCCTACGGGGTGAGGGCGTGGTCAACCCCATGGGGTGTCACCTGGGGTGTCCCCAAAGTGTCACCTCTCCCACCTCTCGGCTTTGTTCTGCCGGATGCAACCTTCGATGATTTCTTTCACCTCCGGGTCCGTCACCTTCTCGAAACTGGCCGGTTTGATGCCCTGGAAGAAGAAAGACCATCGGGAAGATGCCACCACCACCACCGCGACGGCAGCTTTGGGAGGGGCTCAAGATGGTCGGTGGGTTTGGAACTTGGTCGTTGGGTTTGGAAGATGGTCGTTGGGTTTGGAAGATGATGGTTGGGTTTGGAAGATGGTCGGTGGGTTTGGAAGATGATGGTTGACTTTGGAAGATGATCGTTGGGTTTGGAAGATGATGGTTGACTTTGGAAGATGATCGTTGGGTTTGGAAGATGATGGTTGACTTTGGAAGATGATCGTTGGGTTTGGAAGATGATGGTTGACTTTGGAAGATGATCGTTGGGTTTGGAAGATGATGGTTGACTTTGGAAGATGATCGTTGGGTTTGGAAGATGATGGTTGACTTTGGAAGATGATCGTTGGGTTTGGAAGATGATCGTTGCATTTGGAAGAGGTTCAAGATGGATTTGGAAGGATCAGATTTGGGATTTCGTGGAGGACATTTGGTTTAGAAGATGATGGTTGACTTTGGAAGATGATGGTTGGGTTTGGAAGATGATGGTTGGGTTTGGAAGAGGTTCAAGATGGACTGGAATGGTCAAACTGGGATTTGGTGGAGGACATTGGGTTTGGAAGATGATGGTTGGGTTTGGAAGATGATCGTTGGGTTTGGAGGATGGTCGTTGGGTTTGGAGGATGATCGTTGCATTTGAAGAGGTTCAAGATGGATTTGGAAGGATCAGATTTGGGATTTCGTGGAGGACATTTGGTTTAGAAGATGATGGTTGACTTTGGAAGATGATGGTTGGGTTTGGAAGATTGGAAGATGATCGTTGGGTTTGGAGGATGGTCGTTGGGTTTGGAGGATGATCGTTGCATTTGAAGAGGTTCAAAATGGATTTGGAAGGATCAGATTTGGGATTTCGTGGAGGACATTTGGTTTAGAAGATGATGGTTGGGTTTGGAAGATGATGGTTGGGTTTGGAAGAGGTTCAAGATGGACTGGAAGGGTCAAATTTGGGATGTGGTGGAAAATGTTGGGTTTGGAAGATGATCGTTGGGTTTGGAAGATGGTCGTTGGGGTTGGAAGATGGTCGTTGGGGTTGGAAGAGGTTCACGATGCATTTGGAAGGATCAAATTTGGGATTTGGTGGAGGACGTTGGGTGACGTTGGGTGGCCACCCACGCTGGTGACTTTGCGGTAGATCTGGGCGGCGTTCTGGCACTCGGAGTAGGGGTACTCGGAGGTGCCCATCTCCAACATGCACATCCCGAAGGCGTAGACGTCCACCGACTCGTCGTACCGCTCCTCGTACATCTCCGGCGCCATGAATTCCGGCGTCCCTACGGGTGGGGACAATCCGTCACCGCCCTCCACCGCCCGCCGGCCGGTTCTCCTCGGCGCCGCGGCTCTTACCGATGACGCTTTTGGCGAAGGAGGTCCTCATCAGCGTGGCCAAGCCCAAATCGCCGATTTTCACCGAGCCGGTGGGGCCGGTGATGAAGATGTTGTCACATTTGAGGTCCCGGTGGATAATCGGTGGAGTTCGGGTGTGGAGGAAGTGGAGACCCTTCAAGATTTGCCGGCACCAGCTGCGTAAAACCTTGGGTTTCATCACCTTGAACCTCTTGAGATACCTGGTGGCCAGGAGAAACCCAACCCAAGGTCAGCTTTGGGTTCTATCACGTGGAACCTCTGGAGATACCTGGAGAAACCCAACCCAACGGCATCGTTGGGTCCCATCAACCTCTGGAGGCACCTGGAGAGACCCAACCCAAGGTCATCTTGGAGTTCCAACACCTCAAACCTCTGGAGATCCCTGGAGAAACCCAGCCCAAGGTCATTGTTGGGTTCCAACACCTTGAACTTCTCAAGATCCCAGGAGAAACCCAACCCAACGTCATTTTTGGGTTCTACCAACCTCTGGAGATACTTAGATCCAGGAGAAACCCAACCCAATGTCATCGTTGGGTTCCACCAGCTGGAACCTCTCAAGATACCTGGAGAAACCCAACCCAAGGTCAACTTTGGGCTCTATCACCTCAATCTTCTTGAGATCCCTGGAGAAACCCAACCCAACGTCATCGTTGGGTTCCATCAACCCCTCAAGATCCCCAGAGAAACCCAACACAACATCATCTTGGGGTTCCATCACCTGGAACCTCTCAAGATACCTGGAGAAACCCAGCCCAAGGTCAACTTTAGGCTCCATCACCCCAAACCTCTGGAGACACCTGGAAAAACCCAACCCAATGTCATCTTGGGGTTCCATCACCTCGAACTTCTCAAGATACTTGGAGAAACCCAGCCCCACGTCATTTTTGGGTTCCACCAACCTCTGGAGACACCTGGATCCAGAAGAAACCCAACCCACGGTCCTCTCTTGGCCTTTCCCCCCTCACCAGCCCCCCGATGCCGTCACTCACGTCTTGAGGGTCCCCGAGGTCATCAGCTCGGTGACGAGGACGATGCACTTCTTGCCCTTGAGGGTGGACTCCCAGGAGTCGTAGAAGCGGACGATGTTGGGGTGCTGGAGCCCCTTCAGCATCTCCGCCTCCTCCTTGAACCGTTGTTGCTCCACCTTGGTCAGCTTCCGCGGGGGGAAATTTTGGGGTGTCGGTGGCTTTGGGGGGGTTCCAGATGAGTTTGAGGAACCAACCG